TTCAAATACATTGCCTATACCCTGTCTAACATTATTATGCATAAGGAGATATGAAAAAATTATGTAAAATAAATAGAAACAGTATACTCGTAAGTGAGTCAGATAATGGCATTATCAGACACAGACTTTAAAATAGCAAGGCTTAACACATTTAAGGAAATAAAGGCTAGACTGAGAATTCCTATAGAGAGCTAAAAACTGTTATTTTAAATCCAGGTGGATGTTCTAGATCTTCAATGTCAGCACGTTAATGGATTTAAGAGAAAATTATAAAACGCTAAAGATGAAATTATTAAACTGAGATAAGTCAGAAATAATTATCCAGACAATGTAATGAGAATTACAGAAAGAACAGAAGAGATGCAGAGATGTGGTGAGAAGGTCTACATTACTTATAACTGAATTTCCAGAAATACAAGAGAAAAATAGAGTCAAAAAAAAGGTAATTTTCCAAAATTGATGGAAGCCCTCAAGCCACATATTCAAGAAATTCTGCAAACCGCAAACAAGATAAATGCAAAACACCACAGCTAGACACAGGATGGAAAGTCCCTAAAAAAAAAAAAAAGAAAAAGCAAGCAGAGAAAAAAAGGTAAATTACTTTGAAAGTGGTCTCTGTAAGACTTAAAACTAATGTCTCACTAGAAATGATATAAAACCGGAAGAGAATAAAAAGATATCTTCAAATTAAAAAAAAATTTTTAAATGTATTTAAGTTCCAGAAAACTATGTCTCAAAGATGAAGGTAAAATTAAGACACAATGGGAGAAACAAAATTGACAGAATGTGTCACACTAAGGGAAATGCTCAAGAAAGTGTAATGTGTACTCATCTGCAGGGAAATGACTCCCGCTAAAACCTGAAGAAGAAAGAGAACTGAAGCTTGACGTATGTGAATAAATCTAAACAGAATTGTTGATTTAAACAAGAATAATACAGGATTAAAATTATTGGCAATAATAATACATAAGGTGGTAGGAAGCTAAATGGAGTTAGAGCAGCCTGAATTTCCTTCACTGAGTGCAAAGGAGTGAACCTGCTTAGTTGACTCTGTAGATCAAGGACACCTGTTACGTTCTGTTAGCATGATCACTAAAAGAGTGTATCACAACCGAGTAATGGACTGAATATCTGTGTCTGAAAAATGTCTGTGTTAACACCTGAACCTCCTGTGATCTTCAGTGAGATGGTAGTAGGAGGTGGGCCCTCTGAGAGGTGATTAGATCAGGAGGGTGGAGCCCTCATGATGGGGTTAGTGTTCTTATAAGAAGGAGCACGTCTCTCTCTCTCCTGGCCCCCCCAGTCTCTCCCTCTGTGAGGTCAGTATCATGTGAGGGCACTGCAAGAACGTAGCCATCTGTGAGCCAGGAAGAAGACCCTCACCCCAAACCCAACCATGCCGGCAGCCTGATCTCAGACCTCCAGGCTCCAGAACTGTAAGAATCAAATGTTTGCTATTTATGTCACCCAGTCAATGGTAAGCTTGCTACACAGCCTGAACCAACTAAGAAATGAAATAATGATTATTAAAAAAATTCTTAACCAATCCAATAAAAAGGGCAATGTTAGGGAGATAAACAAAGAGGAGGAACATCTCTTCCAGATATCAAGACTTACTATACCATAACTAAGACACTCTGGTACTGACATAGAGCAACTTTATAAAAATGGAATAACCTCTTTGGAAAACTGGCATTAGCAACTACATATGGTCATTTTCTGTACAACGAAGGTGGCCCAGAAACACAACGAGGATATAATGGTCTCTCCAGTAAATGATGCTGACACTACAGGGAAGTAAATGAATCACAGGGCGTAAAATCAATTCCAGGTGGATTATAGACCTCCCTGTGAAATATAAAGCAAAAAGAGTTCTAGAGAATGGCATAGAATATCTTCATGACTTTGGAAAAGATATAAATGAAAAGACTAACAGAGCTGTGTTAAATTTAAGAAAGTGCGTTCATGAAAAAAGACACTAACAAGGGAGTGAAAAGGTGAGCCATGGAGTAACAAAAGACCTTCACATCACAGACAACCTCCAAAGGACTAGCATCCAGAAACCCTAGAAGTCAACAAGAAAAAGACAGACAATCCTATAGAGAAAAACAGGCAAGAGACTTGGTGGGAGAACAGAATAGGGCACCCCAATATATGAAGAGTTGTTGAGCTGAAGGTGATTAAGAAGCAGATACAGGGAAGTTTTCCGTGCTCTATTTGTCTAAAAGCAGGTTGTAGATTTACAAAGACAAATGGGATCCTGCTCACCCCTTCTACCAGGAGGAGCTAAAAGTTACCCACTAAAAACAATGTAGACCCTTATCTACCTGGAGATAGCCCCGGAGGATTCTGAATGAGCAAGTTTCCCCAGCTTGCCTTTATCTGACAGTTCTCTGCCTTCCTCCAAGTTGCCCTCTCTGGAGACTGATGAACTGTCCCTTTGTCTTGCAGATGGCACACAAGCTGGAATTCAAAGCCACATCTTTGAGAACTACTCATTTCCTGGGTACTTCCCAAGTACATGTGAAATACACATTTGTTTGTTTTCCTCTTTTTAATCTGCCTTTTGTTATAGGATCCATTCCAACTAAGCACCTACGGGAATTATTCTTCCCCTACAACTTGAATAGATATTTCACAAAACAGCACATCGAAATAAATGGTTAATGAACACATAAAATGTGTTTAATTTTTTTTAGGAATCTAGGAAAATATTTTATTAAGGCCACAATAGAATACCATGACACACCATCCAAAATGGATAAATTGAAAGATTGATGGTAACAAGCAAAAGCACAACTGCATTAAAAAATGCTTGATATTATCTATTGATGTTGAATGAATGCTGACTTTATGACCCAACAATTATGCTCTTTGGTCTATATCCAAAGGCAATGCATGAACACATGCACAGAGAGACATGTATGAGAATATCTGTGGCAGCATTATTCAAAATAGCCAACAGCTGAAAACAATTAGAATGTTCATCAATAGTGGGATGTGGAAATAAATGGTAGAAAATGAACACAACTGTCATGCCGCAACAAAAATGAACAGACCATAGCTATGTGCTACAAGACAGAATCTCACAAGTGGAGCTGAATGAAAAAAGCAAGTAAGGAGGGAATTATACTACATGACTCCACCTATTCAAAATTCAAAGCCAGCAAAGCTGATCTAAGATGTTGGAAGTCACGTGGTGGATCACAGTGATTGGAAGCAGCCTGAGTCACACTCTGGGGTCTTGACAGTGCTCTGTACCTTGGTATCCATAATAGGGATATTCAAGTGTCAACAGTTCATTGACTGTTACTAATGATATGTGCATTTTGTGTACATGTATTATATTTCACCCCCAAAAAGAAAAAATAGTGTACTTTTAAATGTCAAACTTGAAAGCGTAAGAACTTTAAATTTGTAGCTGAAGTTGGAAATAACGTCCTTGAGAACCTCGAACTTAGCCTCTCGGCCAGATTTTGATATGTTTGGTTCAAAATAGATTCTGTTTATGGTACCTGTGCTTGGCATTCTAAAAGGTATAAAAGTTTATGGAATAAATAAATGGGATTTTGAGCATAAAAAAGAATACTGCTATTCTATGGGAATAAGGACAGACTAGTGAGGAAAGAGGCCCTTCTTAAAGGCATTCACCAAGGGCCTGCCATATAATCATACACCAGGTATGTCTTGGCCCAGAAACCAGCACCTGATTAGAGAATCCCGGTTACTTCAAAAAGGGGGACTCTTGACCTCTTCCAGAGAAGGACCATGTTAAAGTCTACATAAAGGCAGCTCCCAAGAAGTAAAAAAACTCATATGGAGTTTGAAGTCAAAAGATCTATAGTTTAGACCCAGGTCAACCATTAAACTATGTGGTTTTAGCAGATATTTTAATATGAAAGATAAAATATAAACGATTTTATCATTTTTAAAAGCCTAAAATATTATAGTTATATAGTTGTACTTACATAAATTTTAAATAAAAAGGTAGGTGGTTGTATGTGCAGAACTCCCAGTGGGAATGGGGGTGGAGGAACCACAGAAAAACAGGGATCTGATGAGAAATCAGGTGGTTCACGCTCTCTCTTAGAAGATACCCAACATCAGGCAAATCTGAGACCTTGAGTAACTGAGGATGTCTTCAGAGACGTGACATGAGGAGACAGAATGCATCTCACAGCTCTAGGCTGGGAGCGCATATGTAGCGCTGGTTCTGCTGAGGTCGTCTGGAGAATCACTGCCCTGAGCGTGTGCTTCTTTCTTTCTTTTTGGCCTGTCAGGAGAAGCTCAGCCCAGTTCAGAAAACAGTACAATTATGATCAGCAATGTTATTCTTGCATCAATCTTCACCAGTAATTCTGAAAATGCCCATTTACTTTGGTTGCATAAGGTACTGTCATGCTTCTGTCAAAGGTTGGGATATTAAGCCGTTTTTTATTAATATCTACTCTCACCCATCCCTAAATACTTTTGTCTTCAGTCTCAACCTCTGTACTTCCTGGGATCATATGATTCGGATGGAGTCCTGAGTTCACCACTACACATGCAAGGAAAGGAACAATGGCAGGGCCTTTCCAAGAAGCCATATAATGGCTTTACCAAAAGAACTGTCCCAAGCAAGAAGAGTGAGGCTCCACCCAGGAGAGTTTCCAGGTCTTCAAATCATGCTAATAATAGTAAGTGCATCCCAGGACTTGAGGCTTACATTACATTAAATTAGGGGGAGGCATCTCAAACAGAATAAACTCCATAAATAATAGTTAGAACCATCACCATCACCATCGTCTATGACCAGCACCTCCATTCTCTTCATCATCAGCATCATTATTACCATCATCATCACCATTATCACCATCACTGTCTTCACTACCATAATTACCATCACCACCACCATCATTATCATCCTCTCCACCATCACTGCCAATAGTGTCATCACCATCAACACCAACATTATCATCACCACCACCATTAACAACAGCATTCTGGAACTGGTAGATTGCTTCTGTCTTCTTTGTTAAAATTTTTTAACTCCCACACCCCTTAATATTTCACCGAGAACTTTGAAACACAATGCACCTGACCATGCCCATCACAGAGGTTCTTGTAAAGTGGCATGTACTTCCTCTCTGACCACATGAAATGGCAGGGATGCATGTCAACAGCAACTGTGCACCTCATGATCCAGACCCACCATGGACAAGCCTGGACGCATGGCTGTAAGCTCAAGGGATACAGAGCAGGAGGGCCCTCTCCTCCCAGGAGGCAGTCTGACCAGATGGCTGAGAATAAAGATGTTGAGAAACTGGCTGTCTGTGATCTTGAACGTGCAACTCACTCGCACCCCACAGGGAGCCTTTTTGAGGCTCTGCCTTGATGTTTTGAATGAAGCTCATTGTGATGCATGCCGGTTCTGCTTATTGATAGTGATGAGTGAGATGAGACCCAGGTGAGTTATTTGGCAGCAGGGAGTGGTGCTGTTTTTAATCAAAGCAAATAAAAAGACAATCTTTTTATTGAAAAGATGTATCCTCAAGGCCTTTTACAGACTGCAGATGTATGCACCTTAATCTTACATTCCTTAGAAAAGAGAACATTCTTGAAAAGTAAGCTATATGTTCCTAATCTCACTGTAAAATGCTTGAATAGCTCTGTGTTTTTGAATCAGTAAAGAAAAGAAAGGCAAGGACAAAGCCTGCTGGGATGCAGGAACCACCATTGTCACACAGCCCCTGGCAGGCGACGCTGGGTGACACTGAATGCTGGACCACCAAGCTCTGAAGCTGCCAAGAAAAGATTTGGTTTTACAGTATGAACATGAGAACATATCTGTAGGAGAAACACACACAAAACAATGACTAAAACACGAAAACACAACAGGATGAATAGAATAGCAAAACCCAACATCTGCGGAGTTGATGTGGTAGTTTTTCCTTCTGTCAGAGAAGATGTTCCACCCACACTTAAAGGCTTAAGTGGCCGGCGCCTAGTAGATCCCATACAATAGCAATGGATGTTAGAGGCAAATAAAATGGTGCTTAAAAAAACAAGAAGGGACACGCCAGTCTCTGTGCATGCTCTCAGGGAGAAACCTGTAAGACAAATGGCCAAAGAGAAACTCCCTTCCAGGCGGAGCAGAGCAGAGCCAGCACATTTTTCACACTGAGCAGGGGAGAGAGATTTTCTGTTCAGTGAGGTTGCTAAGAAAAAACATTCAAGTTCCTAAAATATTCAGGTTTCATGACTTTTTTTCTCTACTCCTGTGACAGAGGAGGTTTCATGACTTTATAAAAGACAGATAATGTATAGAAAACATTGTCACTGGGTTTCTAATGTGATTAGACCCAATTAGACCAAAAAAGAAAAAAAAACCCGTATTTCCAAGTAACTGATTGCCCATGAATAATTTTATTTTCTCAAAACGGTTTGTGTGCATACAGACATAGCTTTGCCATTTCTTTAGTTGTTTTACCATTCTCTCTTTTTTCCCACTTCTAGGTATATACTCACATTTTACCATTTTCAAATGACTCTTACTACCAAAACCATTAATGCCTTAATGAAGTCTTTTTTCTTTTAACAAGTGAAATGCAATTTTTAGTTCGACCTTTGTCCGTGGTAGGAAAGGTGGGCATGGGTTGGAACAGCACAGGAGAAGCCCCTTTTACAAGGCCTCTACTGGCTCAGACGCTTAAGGAAGGCTTAATTACAAAATAGACAAGACCAGCAAGGTGAGCAGAGCAGAGGGGCGTCAAGAATCAGAACATGAACTTGAGAAGTTAAATACTTATGGGGTCTCTTCTAGGCTGAAATTCTTGTCCACCAAGAATCTCAGGATAGAATCTTGTTTTAAAATAGGGTCTTTGCAGATGTATTTAGTTGAGATAGGGTTATGTGGCATTAGACTGGGTCCTAACCCAGTGACTGGTCCTAATAAAAAGAGAAAACAGACATAGAGACACAGAGACACAGAGAAGAATACCACATGTGGACAGAGACAGAGAGATTGGAGTGATGTGTCTACAAGCCAAGAAATGGCGTGAACCACCAGCGACCCCCCAAAACAGGAAGAGGCAAGAAGCCCTCCCCTGGAGCCTTCAGAGATAGTACGGCCCTGCCCACACCTTGATTTGGACTTCCAACCTCCAGAACTGTGAGAGAATACCATTTCTGTGGTTTTAAACCATAAAGTTTGTGGCATTTTGTTATATCAGTCCTAGGAAACTAATCCAAAGCCCCTTAGTCATCTAGAGAATGGGTTCCACAGACTCAGCTCCTTTCAGGAATCCATAAGCACGGAGCCTCTGAGTGCCCTGGGAGTCTGTGAATGGAAGGAGCTGTGGCGGTGGATTAAACAGCACATCCTCAAGGGACGTCACTGGGGCGTCGGAACTGACAGACGCTGTTTCCGTCTGCTGAGCAGCTCCATGCGTTCTGTTAACCTTGGCATGGATGCCTTCCTCTTCTTCTCAAGAGGGCTTCTGGAAAGCCGCGTGTCTTTCATCATCAAGCCTGAATTTTCAAAGGCCAGGGATGTCCTTTACCGATGGTATACGGCATTTAATGGAGATTCTGCAATTTTCACCCCACGTCTCAGGGCACCGCTGCCTCTGTAATCACCTCCATACGTCTCTCTCTTCCCCCCACAGCGTCTCTCTCTCCCGCAGCCCTCTCCATTCAGCCTTGAACACAGCCCTGCCATAATCCCCTGTGCATTTGACTTCCCAGAACCCCCACGCCTTCCTCCTTTCCTGCCTTTCCTTTGCTGTTCCAAGCTAAATGTGGTAGTTCCCTGCTGCTGCTAGAACAAAGTTCCACAAACTGAGAGGATAACATTGCAGAAACGTACCTTCTCGCAGTTCTGGAGGCCAGAACTGCGTAATCCAGGGGCTGTCGGGTCGCTAAAGGCGCTGGGGAAGAGACCTTGGCTCCTGGCTTCCGGTTTAATGTTTAATTGCCTTAATCCAGGCAACGTCAGCTCCAAATACAAAAGCCTCCCACCATCCCTGCCTCCCATCATCCTGAAGAAGGAGACTCCAGGCTCAGACAGAAGGCTGCCCCTGAGGCTGCCCTGTGCAAAGCCCAAACTGTGTACAGTATTCAGATGACCATGCAATATGAACAGCCATCCAGGACAAGCCCGGTTTGCTCCCTTGAGAATCGGGAAGGCTGCCCAACTCTCTCTTTTCCCCCAATTTGTGCTCCTACGGTGTTTCCAGTGTGCACAGAATTCCTGGAAGAACAACTGAAGAGAAAGCAAAACCAGGCATTTGTCAAGGAGAAACAGAGCTGGACACAGGCCTCCGGGCTAAGGACAGATTCTGTTCAGTGCTGATGCAACCGGGGAAGGGAGACTTTCGTATAGAGGAAGCTCCACTCCAAATACAAAAGCAGGTGGGGCTCTGTGGCCAAGGAGCAGTGGTAGGGGTCAGTTGGTGGATGGAAATTAGTAAGAAGAGACGTCAGGGTAGGGAGTAACTGCTAAGCCAGCTCACCTGGATCCTTGCAGAATGTGAGGGGGTGTGGGTGGGCGGGGATCAGGTATCACTGAAAGGCTGGCTTAGCAGGTTCTTTGTTAAGACTGGCAAGGCAGCCTGAGAACACGGCTGATGGAAAAGAAGGCTCAGAGGCACTTGCCTAAAATTTGGTCAAAGGGAGAGTGTTTGCCAATGTGCAATAATAGATACAAAAATCAGCTTCCAGTGATTAAGTGTTTGTGACTGCAGGGTAATGTCACAAAGGCCTGAGCACCCACTTTGGTCAGGCTGGTGAAACCTCACGACAGCCCGGAGGTGCATCTGTCATCACCTGTTGCAAATGAGGAAACTGCAGCTCAGCAAGGCGGAGGGAGCCCCTCGGCAAGGCGGAGGGAGCCCCTCAGCAAGGTGGAGTGAGCCCCTCAGCAAGGTGGAGTGAGCCCCTCAGGTGCACGACGAGGAGGTAAAGGGCAGAGCTGAGGCTTGCAGCCAACTGTTTGATCCTGCAGTGTTCACACAATGCCTTCTACACCTGAATCCCTTAAACATGGCCAGCTTTGGGCACTTCCCATCAGCATTGTTTCCAACAGCCACAATGTCCAGTTAGTAAAAGAGCTGCCATGTCAGCTGGAAACCCTTCTCCTTGCCCCACACGTGGAGCATGTGCCACTGGCCAAGCCTCTCTAAGGCAGGCAAGGCTGCCACAGAAGCCGGCACTGATGGAGGGAAGTGGATCCAGTCTGCCCCAGAGCTGCAGGTGGGGGCCCAGGACCACAGCTGGAGCTTTGACTCACTGGGCTGCACGCTGGTTGCTGGCCCCAGGTGCTGGTGATGGTGTGGTCTCAGTACACTGAGCCTTAAACGCCTGCCAGTTCAGGCGGGGTAGGGAGGTGGCTCCTGTGGCAGGTTCAGTGGTGCTGAAGTTGCCATCAGCTTCTCAAGAGCTGCACCTCACACCACCCACACTGCATGCACCTGCTTTCTAGAAAGATCAGGGAGACAGCCAGGAGCAGCACCCTAAGGACACAGCAAAGATAGTTGCTTGGGCATTGAAGCCAAGCTCTATGGGTCCTCCTTGCCTTGGGCACCTTGTCACCTCTCTGGGCCTCAATTTCCTGCAGGTGAAATGAAGAGGATAGACTATGTTTAATTGTGGGACGTTGAGGCTCTATTAAACTTTTAACTAGGAAATGTCCACGTAGACCAAAGCAGGCTTTGCTTCCAATGTGAACAAACAAAGGCCCGCTGTGTGAAGGGGTCAAGGGGTCGGCAGCAGTCCTGGGCACAGAGTGGAGGAGGGATTTTCTCCTGCAGAGGGCACAGACCCATGCCCAAGGGTCACATCAGGTAGGTTCCATGGCCCCAGCCACTCTGATGTTGCTGGAGGTAAACCCTCGATGTCACAGCCGGGTCTGGACGTCACAGCCTGGGTCACCACCTTGGGTGAAGAGCAAGGTGCCAGCAGTCAGGAGCCCCCGAGGGGCACATGCTTCATTTCTCAGTTTGCCAATTTGGCCATTAGTATCCCAGCTCGGCCACTGAGTGCTGACACTGATCCCCCGACCTCCCCACAGAGCCACTGCTGCCACGACACAGGGTAGACACCGGTGCTCGCCACACTTCCTGCTGGGGTCGGGATTGGGGAAGTGCTGAGCCAGGACCATCAGTCACTGTGGCTCACCATAGTCAGCTCCCGTGGGTGGGCTGTGAGGAGGAATGGAGAGCAGGGAGGAGGGAACTCATGGGTGCCTTCTATTGCAGCCACCCTTCATCTGTCAACACACAGTCCCCAAGCAGCTGCTGTGTGCTGCACTCTCCCTGGAATTCCAGCCTGCAGCCAACCAGGGGAGACGCCCACCCTGACAGATTTCTTGCTCTAGCAGGAGAGGGGAGATGATGAACAACATACATTTAATTGTCCAACGTGTATTTACATGGTGAAGATGGGCAGGAGAAAAGCCAAGCAGGGAAAGAGAACCAGTAGACAGGGAGGTGTCACTGGGAGGGGAGGCTCAGTGGAGATGGAAGGAGAAGCAGGTGGAGGTGGCCATGCTGCTGTGTCCTGGGCAGAGGGAGAGTGGAGTCCAGGTCCCAAGGCACGCATAGAGCCAGCAGGGTAGACGACCGGCAGGGTAGAGACGACCGGCAGGGTAGACGACCAGCAGGGAGACTCAGGGTTGGAGTAGCTGAAGCAGAGTCAGGCAGGGAAAGGTCACAGAGGATGAAGTGAGGGAGGGCATGGGGACTGTGGAGCATCGTGGTTCAATGTTAGAACTTCTGCATTCGTTCCTAGTGAGACAGGAAATGCAGAGGCTCAACAGGCAAGAAAGGGCATGACCTGGTTTATGTTTTAACACTCTTCTGGCTGCTGGGCTGAAAATGGGTGGGGAGCAAGGGGCAGGCGCTGCACACGCCTAAGTGACAGAAATGCTTGCTTAGCTTAGGGCTGTAGAGGTGGGCCTGGGGAGTAGTCGCTGGATTCGGGATACTGGTTAGGGGTACAGCTCTCAGGGTATACTGAGGACTGGGATGGGGGGGTGAGAGTCAGCACTGAGCAGTCACTCCACAGTCTTGACCCTGGACGGCTGGAAGGACAGAGCTGCTATTTACTGTGATAACAAGAGCAAGGAGCACAGGTTGCAAGAGGATGATCAGGACTTATATTCCGAACATAGCAAATTTCAGATGCCCGTTAGGCTTGCAAGTGAAAACGCTGTGTAGGAATTAGATACAGTAGTCCAGAGTTCAGGATGTTGATCATGGCTAAATATGTAAATTGAGAAGCAACAGCAAACTTAGGATATTTAAAACCAAGAGACTTCGAGCATGGATAGAGAAAGAATGATGTCAAGGATAGAACCTGAGGCATATCAGGTTTAAAGAAAACAGAGAAGGAACCCTACAAAGGAAACCGAAGGGGAATCCAGGGAGGTGGGAGAAAAGCCTTCGTGCATTGCGGAAGCCGAGTAAAGAGGGTGTTTCACAGAAAAGGAGGACCTCCCATGGGCAGTGCTGCTGGGGGTAAGAGGAACACTCAGAATTAACTCCTGGATATAACCTGGGGTCTACCATCTGTGACCTTGACCAGAGATCCCAGGAGCAGTAGGAACAAAGGAACAAAGTGATCTGAGTTACTTCAGAGCAAAACGAGGGCAGCTGCTGCAGAAAAAAGTGGAAAGAAAGGAAGATCATTTTGTAACACAGAAAGAAATAATGACATGTTCATCTGCTGATGGAAATGACCCAATAGGGAGGGAGAAATTGATCTCGAAGGAGAGAGGTGAAAATTACCCAAGTGATGTCCTTGAGAAGGGGTGGGATTTATCCTTAGTAACAGGAGAGGAAACGGAGGAGTCGGCACAGCTGGGGGAGGTGGGTGGATGAAGGGGAGGGAGCTTGCAGCAATTCTTTTCTGATCACTCCAATTTCCTCCATGAAACTAAAGAAGCAAAGAAATCAGCTGATATAAGATTGAAGGAAGAGTTGACGCAGTTTCAAGAGAGAGGAAGTGTGAGACGGTGATCTGTATGTGTTGCATGACGGCCAGACATCTCTCAGGGCCCATTTGAGGTCAGTGGTCATAAATTTAACAGGAGCAGTGTCAGCGCAATGGTATTCTGTCCAGCCTTTCACTGCACAGGGGAAGGGGCAGCGTGGCCAGAGGACTGGGGCCTTGCCAACGAAGTGAGATCCAGAGAGGAACAAGGCAGTTCAGCATATTGGTTGTGAAGTATTATCCTTTCTTTAAGATAAGAAAATGAGTTAAGTTACTTGCCCAAGGTCACAGAGCTAGTGAGATACCTATTTGGGATTTAAAATCCAATCTAGCTGACTCGAAGGTCATTAATCTTTCTACTACTTGACAAAGAATTGCATTTTAGGCCAGGTACTGTGGCTCATGCCTGTAATCCCAGCACTTTGGGAGGCCAAAGCTGGGAGATCACTTGAGGCCAGGAGTTCAAAACAAGCCTGCTCAACACTGCAAGACCCCCATCTCTACAAAATTTAAAAAAAAAGAAATTAGCCAGGTATGGTGGCACATGCCTGTCTGTAGTCCCAGCTACTCTGGAGGCTGAGGCAGAGGATTGCTTAAGCTCAGGTATTTGAAGCTGCAGGGAGCCATGATAGCACCACTGCACTCCTGCCTCGGTTACAGAGCAAGACTCTGTCTCAAAAAAAAAAAAATGCATTTGACAGATAGCCATTATATCTCAGATCTGCCCTAGAGCTTCTATGCCACTGTATCATGCATACCACTTTGAATCGCTTTGTTTGTATTACTCACCATTAGTTTTTTCATTTTCCAGTGTTTTGCAGTGGTTTATTTTTAATAATTTATTATGGCATGACCTACATGTAGGAAAATCAGAGTTGAGAGGTATACAGCTCAATAAATACCACAAAGCGATAATTACTAAGAAGCTTCTTGTGTCTGGGAATTGATGTCTTGCATTGATTTTAGAAAATTCTCAGCCGTTTTTCAGTAACCAAAACAGCATAGACCAATGGACAGAGTAGAGAGCTCAGAAAAAAAAAAAGAAAGAAAGAAAGAACGAAACATAGAGCAATGGAACAGAGTAGAGAGCTCGGAAGTAAGGTCACACACCTACAACCATCTGATCTGCAACCAAGTTGACATAAACAAGCAATGGAGAAAGTACTCCCTATTCAATAAGTGATGCTGGAATAACTGGTTAGTCATATGCAGAAGATTGAAGCTAGAACCCTTCCTTATACTATATACAAAAATTAACTCAAGATGGATTAAAGACTTAAATGTAAAACCTAAAACCATAAAAGCCCTGAAAGACAACCTAGGCAATACCATTCTGGATATAGGAACTGGCAAATGTTTCATGATGAAGGCACCAAAAGCAATCGCAACAAAAGCAAAAATTGACAAATGAGATCTAATTAAACTTAACAGCTTCTGCACAACAAAAGAAACTATCAAAAAAGTAAACAGACAGACATCCTACAGGATAGGAGAAAAGCCCTGTTAAAACCATCAGATCTCATGAGATCACACCCACTATCATGAGAACAGCATGAGGGTAACTGTCCCCATGATTAAATTACCCCCACTGGGTCCTTCCCATGACATGTAGAGATTATAGGAACTACAATTCAAGGTGAGATTTGGGTGGGGACACAGAGCCAAACTATATCATTCCACCATGGACCCTCCCAAATCTCATGTCCTCACATTTTGAAACACAATCATTCCCTTTCAGCAGTCCCCCAAAGTCTTAATTCATTCCAACATTAACCCAAAAGTCCAAGTCTAAAGTCTCACCTGAGACAAGGCAAGTCCCTTCCACCTATGAGCCTCTAAAATCAAAAACAAGTTAGTTACTTTCTAGATGCAACTGGGCTGTAGGAATTAGGCAAATACACCCATTCAAAATGGGAGAACTTGGCCAAAACAAAGCGGCTACGGGACCCATGCAAGTCCGAAATTCAGTGAGGCAGTCAAATCTTAAAGCTCCAAAATGAACTTCTTTGATTGATGTCACTTTCAGGGTATGCTGATGCAAGAGGTGGACTCCCACAACCTTGAGAAGCTGCAGCCCTGTGGCTTTTCAGGGTACACCCCTTCTCCTGGCTGCCTTCACAGGCTGGTGTTAAGTGCCTGTGGCTTTTCCAGGTGCACGGTGCAAGCTGTCAGTGGATCTACCATTCTGGGGTCTGAAGGACAGTGGCCTTCTTCTCACAGCCTGACTAGCAGTGCCTCAGTGGGGACTCTGAGTGGCAGTTCCAACCCCACATCTCCCTTCTGCACTGCTCTAGCAGAGGTTTTCCATGAGGGCTCCACCCCACAGCAAACTTTTGCCTAGGCATTCAGGCATTTCTATAGATTCTCTGAAATCTAGGCAGAGGTTCCCAAACCTCAACTCCTGACTTCTGTGCACCTGCAGGCGCAACAACACATAGAAGCTGCCAAGGCTTGGGGTTTGCACCCTCTGAAACCATGGCCTTAGCTGTACCTTGGTCTCTTTTAGCCATGACTGGAGCTGCTGGGATTCAGGGCACCAATCCCTAGACTGCACACAGCAGAGGGGCCGTTAAGTCCAGCCTTCAAAACCATTTTTTCCTCGTAGGTCTCCAGGCAAATTTCTGAAGCTGGCTTGAATTTCTCTTCAGAAAACTGGTTTTTCTATCACATAATCAGGCTGCAAATTTTCCAAACTTTTATGCTGCACTTCCTCTTGAATGCTTTACTGCTTAGAAATGTCTTCTGCCATGTACCCTAAATCATCTGTCTCAAGTTCAAAGTTTCACAGATCTCTAGGGCAGGGGCAAAGTGCTGCCAGTCTCTTTGCTAAAATATAGCAACAGTCACCTTTGTTCCAGTTCCCAACAAGTTCTTCATCTCCATCTCAGACCACCTAAGCCTGGGCTTCATTGCTGATATCACTATCAGCGTTTTAATCAAAGCCATTCAACAAATTTCTAGGAAGCTTCAAACTTTTCTTCCAAGCCCTCCAAATTGTTCTAACCTCTGCCTGTTACCCAGTTCCAAAGTCACTTCCACATTTTTGCGTATCTTTACAGCAGCTCTCCAAGACCTCGGTACCAATTTGTTGTATTAGTATGTTCTCATGCTGCTATGAAGAAATATCAGAGACTCGGCAAGTTATAAAGGAAAGAAGTTTAATTGACTTCAGTTCTGCAGAGTTGAGGAGATCTCAGGAAACTTACAACCATGGTGGAAGGGGAAACAAATGCATCCTTCTTCACACGGCAGCAGCAAAAGGGGGAAAGCCCCTGATAAAACCACCAGAGCTCATGAGAATCCACTCACTATCATGAGAACAGCATGAGGGTAACCACTCCCATGAATAAATTACCTCCCATTAGGTCCCTGTCATGACACAAAGGGATTGTGGGAACTACAATGCAAGGTGAGATTTGGTTGGGAACACAGCACCAAGTCATATCACTTGGCCTTTGAGTTCTTGCTTTCTTGGAAGTTCTCCAAAGTTTTAAACAGATAGATAAGCTCTTTTTTTCTTTACATTGTGTTTAGCTTTTCTAATTGTTCTTGGTAGGAAGACTGATCCCATTAACAGAATTAGAAGTCTCTTCTTAATTGCTTACAGAAATTTTGCAGAGATTCTCTTATTTGTTTCCAAAGCCCAGCAGTCTATGGCAGACACCTGGAAAGACATAGCGAAAGACTCATTTCACTGGGCAAATGGCAAATGACTTGGTGCAATGTGTTAGTATTTTCTCTCAAGAATGTTACTTATGTGTTAATCTCCTTAAAAAACTTTTTTTGTTTTGAAATTTCTGCCTCTTTCTGTCAGAGATAGCCTATAGAGTTATTATTTTTTTTTGAACTAGGAAATCTCTCTCAGGATTCATCTACCAACACGTTGTGTTCTTAGAAAATTTCCACCTCTCATGAAAGCATGCCAGGTTACTTAATTATAAGTTTCCAAGTAGTGGTTGGGGCAGAATAAAGGGTTTCAAGATGTACAACCTAACCACAACGTAATAATGCATTTTCAGGTTAAAAAAAAAAGAATTTTAATTTAAAAAGCAAAATGACAGTTTAGAGAAATGTAATCAAGTAAGTCATTCTTACGGAGACTTATTTATAATCTATGTCCTCTGGAGATTCAGCTTGGAGCATGAGTTGGAGTTTGAACCTTGTACAGAAGCCACCTGTGCGTGCTCCCTCTGACTCCAGGCTGTGCATGCACTCTGGACTCCATCAATGAGCCTGAGAGAGAAGATTGGGTCTTAGAGAAGGGAGAAAGGGCAAGAAGGGGGAGCTCTTTGTAAAAAGTTGACAGTGAGGTTGAGAGACCAGCCTCTGTGTGAGTGAACAGAAATGTGCTTGTAGACATGTGTGGACAAGGGCACAGAAGAAGCCAGTGAGCCCTCTGTATAGAGTATGTCCGCTGAATCACATTGGCTATCTCTTGGGTCACCTAAAAGCATGCTCTCTGAAGCAAATTTACCACTCCTATTCCAGATTTAATCACTCAGCACTGTGTTCAGAAAGCTTCTGAGGCTAGATAAAGGTCCAGGAGAAGGGCACTGTGAGGAATGGGGTCAGCCACAGCCACAGCACAGGGCTTGCATGTTTGCCACTTCTCTCCTTAGAGGAAGTGTATAATCATAATTATTCCAGAATGTGCTAGGGCATGTCAAAGTACATAGTTACTTTTTCACTTTTTTCCCAAAACAACTTCATGATGTAGGTAAGACAGGTATTATAAATCCCACTTTACAGGTGAGAAAGTGGCCACAGGGAATGTAACAGGATTTGTCCACATCATCCACAGGTCCTCAGTGACTGTTACAGGAAAGGTGTCCTGATCCAGACCCCAAGAGAGAGTTCTTGGATCTCAGGCAAGAAAGAACTCAGGGCGAGTCCACAGTGCAAAGTAAAAGCAAGGTTATTAGGAAAATAAAGTGGTGAAAGTACACCTACTCCACAGAGAGAGTTGGATGTTCCTCTAAGTAACGGGGGGACGCATCCACCTAGGTACAATGCTTTTGTATATATGGGGACATGTGCTTTGCTATAACGGTTTGTGATAATTAATTTTCTTAATTACTATATTTTACAAGATTCAATAGTATTATCTTTAAAGCAAAATTAGGAATGCCTTTGTTATCCAGATGTCCCGATATCACAGAATCATGTTAAACTCCCAAGTTTGGGTCTGTTTAGTAAACATTATTTAGCATCTAGAGGCCAGGAATGCCTGGCTCCTGAGAATGCAGCCCCGCAGGTCTCAGTTTCATTTTCCCAGCCCTCACTCAAAATGGAGTTGCTCTTGTTCTAACACCTATGACAACGGCTACTCCAATTCTTACTCAACTTTCCCATGATTGGAAGAAGGACAAGTTGGTGCCCAGTAATCAGAAATTATATTAAACAAATGAACTAGACAAAAATATTTATAGCATTGCTCTCAAGAAACACAACGAAGGCTCCCATGGGAAATGATCCAGTCCACCCATGATAAAAAATTAAACATGTCATTCAGAATCTTTTCTAAAACATAAGTCAAAGATAAAGTTATGAATAATTATGAATATAGATTAACTTAATGCAAGAAGTGGACTAACATAACTAATGTTGCAAGTGTATGGTGAAATAAAAGATGCCTTCATGATTGAAAACTTTAGTTGCTAATCATTGTGCTTAACGGAAAAGAAGGCAGGAAAAGGGGAGTTTAATTCAGTTAAACAAACATTTACTTGAGCCCTATAAGAAGTGTATAGAATATCATTTAAGTGCATTTCAGCTAGCATATAATGAGTTAGATAAGTGGACAAAAACTACAATCTAAGGAAGGATAAGATACGAGCGATTGTGAAGACTCAAAAAGAGAATCTTGTGAGTAGATCAGAAATCCTCTAATCAGCAAGAACGTTGTGACAATGGAGGAGATCTGATCTACTCAACGCCACTCTTGGCTTTAGCCTCCTTGATCGGCAAACTGCCTTTGATTATTCCTGGGCTAGTTTTGGGAGACATTTAGTTCATAGTTTAAATGATAATAGCCCTCCTTACCAAGCTCAACTGTCTTTGCAGAGCTAATGAGAGGTTCCCAGGCTAGAAGGAGCAGAGAAACCTGCTAAGGTGCAGACAGAAACAATTGTCAGCCACATGCAACTTCCCTAACTGCTCCTGCAAATAACATCAGTATCCCAAAACCTAAGATTGGCCTGAGATATCTTTTCAGAACCCAAGATACCTTTTTGCATGTCTGACACTCATAGCTCCACCTGGACCCACCAACCCCACTCCTGTGGCCTCATTCAGAAGCAATTCAGCCTGCAGGAGGACAGCTTCCACTCCACATGATTTCATCTCTGCCCCCAACCAATCAGCAGCAAGTACCTGTTACCTGGCCACCCCCACCCCATCTTTCAAACTTCCTTTGAAAATCCCCTAAGCTAGGAGCTTTGAGGAGGCTGATATGAGTAATTATAAAACTCCAGTCTCCCAAACAGTTGGCTCTGTGTGAATTACTCTGTCTCTTTGGTTTTCTGTTCCTTCATCTGCTTAGGATTATGGCCCCCTCTCTGATAAATCCCCTCTGTCTAGGCAGTGGGCAAGGTGAACCAATTGGGCACTTATAATATTATGGGAGAACATGGAATCAAGAGATTTGGAAATAAACATTCTGAATAATTACTGAATAAGCATGAATTTCATTTCTAAAATATTTACAGTTTGCTTGCAAATTCAAAAAGGCGAAACAAAAAAAATATTTCTTTCAAAATTTCATGTATTGACTGATCCTTCATATTATCTTTTTTTCCTGGAATCCTCAAATAGAAACGAACAAACTATGTCTATAATATATTCAGGTCCATTTCCGAGACCCTTTCTGGGATTGTATAACATGAGCATTCACTAGTAAAACAATTTATCTCAGGAACTGTGGCATGGATTTTAATTTCTGGTTATAAATCTTGAAATAGTGAGAAAAGAGAAAATGACTTCTATGAATAAATCACAGATACCAAGAATCTGATGCAAATTTACCCAACTTTAAATGGAAATATTTTCAGACTATCCGAGATGGACTGTTTTACCCAATAGCTGTCCTGGAATCAAGGTCTTGTTTTTTCCAAAATTAAAATGTTTCTTTTCATTGTTTATTCATTTCTATTTTGTAACCTTTATTTAGGTCCCAGGGTACATGTACTGGTTTCTTATACAGGTGAATTGTGTATCATAAGGGTCTGGTGTACATAGTATTCCATCACCCAGGTACTAAGCATAGTACCCAAAGGTAGTTTTTTGATCCTCTCCCTCCTCCCACCCTCCATGCTCAAGGAGGCCCTCATGTCTGTTGTTCCCTTCTTTGTGTCCATGCGGACTCTGTAAGGTCTTTTAGGCCGACTGACCATGCCATAAACGGCATGGTGGCCTCGGTGACCTGCACCTACACCCCAGATGGGTTCCTGGAAGAAACGATCAACCCCTGCAGTGCCTAACTAACCTGCGACATTCTTTTATTGTTTCTTATTCTGGCCTCAGTTGACAAGGCCATTGGACTTTGTAACTGACCTTGTCAACCTCGTGACTCCAGACCCTATGACCACCTCCCAGCTTGCGAAAAAACACCCTAAAACTGTAACTTCTGTAACTTTTCACTGCCTACCACAAACCTATAAAACCAACTCCTGTCCCTCCGCCCTGCACTGACTCTTTTCTGACTCAGCCCACTCACACCCAGGTGAATAAACAGCCTTGCTATTCATATAATGCCTCTTTGGGGCTCTCTTCATTCAGATCATGCATTTTAACAGACTCAGTGTTTATCTCCCATTTATAAGTGAGAACACATGGTATTTGGTTTTCTGTTCCTGCATCTGTTTAGGATTATGGTCTCCGGCCCCATGCTTGTTGCTGCAAAAAGGACACGATCTCATTCTGTTTTACACCTGTGTAGTATTCCATGGTACATGTGTAACATATCTTCTTTATTCAGTCTACTGTTGCCAGGCATTCAGGTTGATTCCATATCATTGCTACTGTAAATAGTGCTGCAATGAACATGTGTTTGCATGTGTCTCTGTGGTAGAACAATTTATATTTCTTTGGGTATACAGCCAGCAATGAGATTGCTGGG